CGCAGCTCCAATCGAAGGAGAAGGAGTTAGGGCAATTACGAGGACTCTTTGAGGCGCGACAATGGCCTCCTTCGTTCATCAATCGTCGAGGCGTTCATTGAGAACCGTGGCCGACGCTGCTCGCAAAGGAAACGGGGAACCACCGGTCATCTGGCCGTAACGAAGCAATTTTCCACGGCTGCTCCGCGCGGATGAATGGACACGCGGCCACGCTGACTCGTGCACTTTCACGGGGAGACCTGTTCGCGCTTTGCGGACTTCATTGACGGAACCATCGGACGGGTTCATTCAGGAGTCCGCAGAAGGACTCTGAATGGACGATGACCGACGGTTTGCATATCGCGATGACTGTTGGTTTTACCCTGCCGACCATGCGGTCTTTGGTTCGCTTGTACTTATTTTTATAAATCTACTTTCCTATGGAAGCTACTTTGTTAACTTAGTTCTTAAATAATGTAACTCTGGAACCATTGCACTTTTGATTCGCAATTATTGATACCTCAAACGTATTGAGTATCTGAGATTAATGAGAAATAATCAGTTTCTGAAGATACTTTCAAGAGAAATGTTTTGCCATTTTTGACTACATATTAATCATATCACTCTCGTTAGTTCTAATCGTTCTTAGAAGCTTCTCCAGGAATCATTCGAAGTCTGCATTAAACTTCATAATTTCGTGGCGTTTCTTTCGATGGTCTAGGAACCTCTTCAGTGTTCACCTGATCGTTCACGCATCGAAGATCGGACACGTTCCCATTGTCCCCAGAAACGTTCAAGCCACGAGGTTCACTGTCGCCAAGTTTCGGGAAACTGTAAAGATTCAAAGCTCGCGTAACAGCGTCGATTAAGGTTAGTAAAAGACGATTTCTCACTGCGTGGACAACAGAGCGCGCCAAATGTACGTTACGCAAACGCTGTTGCACGTGGACAGACAATCGAACATTTCGCAAGCTGTCGGTGGCTTCTCGTTCCGTTTTCTCGCGCGTTCACATCTCTGGTTCCGGTAATCCGTGGAATCTAACTGTTTGCAAGGTCTCTGTTTCGGTGTGCACATGAAAGTTGCCGACTTCCGTTCGACGAGACTGTCTTTTGCAATCGATGGAACCTGTCGGTTCACCAGACGACGATCGTAGATTAAACTGCTCCTTTTCTTTTGTTTCGTATCGATTCCCGTTAGGGAACCGTCTTTCCCACGGGTCACTTTGCGCGTGATTCGACCACCATGGAGGAATCGACATGAAAATCCGGTCACGTACTCGGTAACGCGATTACGAAAACTGTGCACCAAAGAATAAACCACTCGTTGGAGGTTCACTTCACGAAAAGATATTATTATTACTGCAGTGTTTGCAAAATCATTTTTGTTGCTTCACCAAGCTCAATTATCGAATAGCTTCTCTTAACCCTTTGCACTGTAGAGGCACTCAGTCGACAGCGAGATTCAGTGCAGAATTAAACAGAAAACATTCAACTTAAAATAGTAAGTTTGATATATTAGCTCTTAGCTTTTATAGAAAAATTTCGAAAAAACTGTTCTAGTGTTCGGTAGTTCTAGTTAATTAGTGCTCAAGTGTTCAGTCATTTCTAGGCCCACTCTGTATTCACCGCGATATGCTCCTCCGATGGTGGGGATCAATGTTCCGAGAAGATAGAAGCGACGAGGTGCAGTTTGACAGCGTTCGACAAGCAGTGCACACCTGAATTTTTTTTCAAGGAGTCTTTAGAGTTCCTCAGTTTGTATCCGTGCATTGACACAATCGTGTTCTCCTTAGGTGAGTGAAGGATCTAAACGATTCGTCGTTAATTCGTACTGTTAATTTTTCCTATCGTTTCGAATGCTTCCTTATGCTCACTCTGAGCTTGGAACTTGAAGACTTAGAAGTACTTTTCAAATGACTGTTTCTGAGAATTTAGACTGAATTTCGATGCAATTTCACTCGCATAGATTTCGAATACCAAGTCTCTTCATTTTTTAGTTCTTCGTCTCGAGGTTTAGAAACAGAATTATTAACCATTTGCACAGTAAAGCTATCAAATCTGATATTTAATGTTGAACTTTTTATAATGCCTCAATACATGAAATATTGGTCCTCAATTTACTTGCGATTTCCTTTCGAGTTAGTTTCAAAGAATGCCATCTTTATCTTCTCAAAAAATGTTAAATATTTCTAGTGAGAAACTTCCGAGTGCAAAGGGTTAAACAACTGGAAGACCTTCGTTTCGTCTATTAACAAGAAATCTGCGACATTGATTCTAAGTTTGACCTACCAGTCTTCCGCTGACACTCTGAAAACATTGAAATTGCGAAATCTCACTTCAGTTTTTACGACTTCGCGAAGTCTCGAGCGCTATTTCCGTCAATACTCGAGAATCCACGATTGAAACATTGTTGCGATAGCGTTGTTGACTGATTACGTTGTAAATAAATTAGCATGGGAAAGAGTTCGCGGAAAAAAATCTTTCGAAAGCAAAGATTCTGTTGTGGAATTTGAAGGAACCTCAAGAAGGCCCTCGTCGTTTCGCAAACAGGCTCGCTGGTGCGAGCATAGTGTCAATATTAAATACACTGCGATAGCCGGTCTCTTCCGTTCGAAAATCGGTCCGTCAATGTTGATAATATTCCGTGGACATTGTAGCTTCGCTTGCATCATCGATACAGAACTGTTACGTTCCTCCTGGAACTTCGAAAGAGTTCCAATCGCGACCAACGGACGAGTAATTGAGGAATCCTCGCGGTGTTCGATTATTTTGGTTCATTAGGAGATTCCAGAGTTATGGATGAGCAGATCAAAGTTGTTGTTGCAGTTGGAAATGACGTTATTGCCGCCGACTGCCGCACAACAGAAACGCATAGACGATGAGGTTCCAGTTGACCCGGAAATGAGGAAACGAGACGTCGCTGCGCTTAGGGAGTGGCTGTCGAAGCAGCCGCATCTACCTAATCACATGGGTTTGAATAAATTATAACTATTAGCAGAATAATTAATTAATTAGCATTAATTCTACTCGCAGAATTTAAACATTTTATCTAGAGATTTGACAATTATAGAAGTGAAAGCTTAACCTTTTGCACTCGAGAGGTGACTTTCACCACTTGATTTCATGTGGTAAAACTATAACCACATTTTCTTTGAGTTAATTTAAGAAATATCGTCTGTCTAGTTAGAAAACGAAATACTGCCGAGTGCAAAGGGTTATCAAATGCCAAGAGTTCAAAGCTTGATGCTTCAATATAAACTCGAGAATGTTCAAACTTCTTGAATCGAACAGCTGAAATTCAAATTGAGCTTTTCAGATTTATTATACACAATAAATCGCGAATGTCCATGAAATCTTCATCGTGTGTTCTGCTAATGACACGCTATCGGCTCGTAAATGATTAGCGATCATCAACCGTGATTGCGAGTGCCATATCGCAATTAGAACCGGTTGATTGCAGATGACGCAAGGCTGGAGAGGTTCCTGTTCGGCTGCAAGAACAGCGTGGAGAGGTGCAAAGTTATTTTGGAGCGATACTTCAGCGTGCGCACCGCCATCCCAGAGTTCTTCTCGATGCGCGATCCGTTGTCGGAGGACATCCAGAGATGCTGCGACTCGACGTAATCGTTTCCTCTCTTCTCGTTGCATTCTACTGAATCGCAATGGACATTCGAACTATTTCATACCGTCTCAAAGAAGACAATTAACATCCGCTGCAATTAACATCCTCGCTTTTAGATGCTACTTCGTCTTGCCATCGCTTACTGAAGAAGGCCACCGTGTCACAGTTTTCCGGCTACGCGACACGTCGGTGGACAACTTTAGCTTTCAGGCGATCACCAAGAGAGTGCTGATGGTGTTGGACACGCGTCTGATGGAGGAGCGCTGCTTGTCCAACGTGATGGTCGTCGATCTCGAGGTCCATTTCTTTGAAACATCAACGAAGATTGAAACGAATCTGATTCGAATCTGACTCGAACTAATGAATTGCTTAGGGATTCAGCTTGGTGCACTTGTCGAAGTTCAGTCCGACGCAGAGCATCGTCAGGAAGGCGATGCTGGCGGTGCAAGACAGCATGCCGTTGCGACTGCACAGACTGCACTTCCTGCATGCGCCTGCGTTCGTCGAGAGTGTGCTGAACGTGTTCTACTCCATGCTGAAGGAGAAGCTCATCGAGAAGGTGAGATCTCCTTCGAACCTAAACTCTGCTCTTCGAATTCTTCTGAACCCAATTAGCTAATGTTTTCATGATTCGATCGACTTCAGTTTCGAATCCATACTGGCGGAGGAGAGGAGCTGCACTCCTTCATGGACAAAGACATACTGCCGAATGAATGGGGCGGCAAGGCTGGAACTTTCGACGAGTTAAATGGTCAGCTAGATTCACCGAATATTAAAGCCACGAGGCTCCTTAAATTTATTTATCTATTCACCGTATAATCCCGGACAACAATTAACGTTTCCAGATGCTTGGAGGAGGAAAATCGAGAAGAACAGGGACTGGTTCCTGCGAGAGGAGAAGCTCAGCCGATCGAACGAGGCCGCTCGGTTGCCCGAGTCCAAGTCGAGGATAATTAAGGAACTCGATGGCGTACAAGGCTCTTTCCGCCAATTAAACATTGATTAGAGAAAGAAACCCTCGAATATATGAATTTTATCCATGATCTGATTGTTCTTCCAGTACTTAATAAAATATTATATATATTTTAATAACATTTTAATAACCAACCGAATTACATTTTACATTTAAAGAAGATTGTATTTCTCAATTATGAACGCCACGGTGTAATCTAAACATTAAATAATAAATGTTACCACGATAAACTGGTATAAAAATTATGGTGTAAAGACGGTTGCGGTTCTTTGGGGCTGAATAAGGGGCAGAGAATTTTGACAGCGCCATCTAGCGGCGAGAAGCTAGCCGAGTTTCTCCCTATACCCGCAATGAGTGCGACAAGGACAGAGCTAGTGTGCGACAAGGACAGAGATAGTCTCACTCGTGCCACCTCCTAGGAATAAGCATCTCATCAGTCCCTGCTACCTACTCGTGAAGCATCAGGACCGAGGAGGTCAATTAAGTGGCGCCATCTAGCGGTGGAGACTACGAACTAAAGCCGAATTTTTGCCGAGTGACAAAATGAGGAAATCAGCGGAGAATTCATTAATATTTCGACTTCCACGAAAGAAACGTGAACATTTGTAATTTAGAATGATAGAATAGACCTTCCCCTACTTTCTCTGTGCGTTTTTGATGGGATCTCGTGACGTGGTAATTATTTATTAATTATTTTTCGAGACGATGACCTAGGGCAACTTTGAATTTTTTGAAACGTACCCGATAGATATTTAAGTTTCTCTGTTGAGGAGCATAATTGGTGAACATTTTGGACTGAGGAAATTAAAGTGGAGTCTTAGGAACATTTCAGTAGCAGTTTTAATCACATTTGAATCGTAGTTAATGAATTATTACTAATTAATTTGGAAGGCAGACGTGTCAGAAATAATTGGGGAAAATATCTAAAGGACTGTTTTAGTTGTTCCAAGTTTTAAATTAATGAATAGACTATTAGGTTCTAATGATTTGGTTTTTCTTGGGTAGATTTTTACGGAAGACCTTGTCTTTATTCAAAATTCGACAAATTTCCCGCGGTGACAGCGCCATCTAGGATAAATTCCCCAAGCTACTAGCCAATTAGTATCACTTTTTAATGCTAGATGGCGCCACAGGATATTTCCGGAAAATTCAAAAACGTAGAATAAAATTCACTAATTTATTTATTTAATTATACATTGAATTTATTACAGCTGTTATATATAAACTGGTTCGCAGATTATATTCAACATTTTTGGAATGTAATTACGTTGGAATTATTCTAGAAAACTAATACAAACTACAAAGATTCAAACGCATTCATAATTAATAATAATTTTCAACATTAAATTCCATCGAGTACATTCCAACGAACGAGAAACGAGACCTTGCACTCGCGATTCGTGCCAAACACACGTTCGACCTGCGCTTAACATTGTTGCGAAGGTGTTGCAGGGCTTCCCGAAGGAGATCTCAACACTGCCAAGCGGAAGCCATTCTAATTTGGAGCAAAAAACTCCCCGCCAACGCGGGGGCTTAAATAATGAAAAAGAAATTGTCAAGGCTTTAAAGAAAGCCTGAGGTCAGTCGAGAGTGAACCGCGCAACAGATGCAATAATCTCTTGCATTCTAGTTCTCAGTCCAATCTTTACAGCCGCAAATTAATTAAGGCCGAAGGTACTTAACGCTAGAACTATCGACCACTTAAACCGACTTAGTTTAGGCGTTACTGAATCAGCTTCTTTAACTTTGCCGACGAATGTCGACACTTCAGAAATTCTTATATTAGGTAAGCTAAGTCGCAAATGATTTAATTACTGAAACGGCAAGAGAAGCGCGAAGTTTCCTTTCGTCTATTGATTAAGCAACTGATGGATAATTTCATCTGCTGGGTTAAAGATCTATGAAAACTATATAAAACTGTATAAAACAATATAAAAAGGTGAATGCCGCATTTCAGAGCAAAGTACGCAAAGTAAAAAATAATATTAAATCGTTTGATTGAAGTGCATCGTTATCGCACGTTGATTTGCAATATAGAAATGTTTTCAAATAATCATCGTTTCGCGGACAAAGTCTCGGTACCTTTCCAGTAATTACCTGTGACAGTTAATCAGCCTCATCACTCGATTATCCGAACAATTCGATTCCCTGGCCACCTTGGTCTCAATTGGTTCGGATAATTGAAGCTATGCAGCATCTTATACAACGCACGACCACCTCCAGACACTTAAGAACCGCCTCGTTCGGCGTGTCTGTCCTCTTTCGTGGCCGTTTAACGGACTTGATAAGCTAATGGTGCTGATCCACGGAACAACAGCATTGCCGGAATCCCTTTCGACCGGCTGTGCCATACGCGATTTCGCAATTGTTGTCGCAGTCGCAGCTGCAGCGGTGTTTCCACCTTGGTTCCTTAATTCCATTCCGTTTCACGCGTGCCGGGTACAAGAGAAAAATCGAGCGTTATCAATTATCATGAGAAACGGGTAGGCACCGAGTTTTCCACTCATTAGTGAACCTTCGGACGACGCGCGAGAGCTACTTTGGTGCAACGATCGGTAAGCTACCTTTTTTTATTTTTTCTTTGCTTACGTTGGTAGAGATGGACAAAATTGCAATGCTACTCTTTTAATCTGAAAACGCAACTTTTGTTTCTAAGATCAATTGGAAGTTTCTAAGATCTATCCTTGAATCACTTATTCTTTGAAAAAAAGAAACCCATAATCTATCACTAAGAATTATAGTAACATCAAGTTTTAAATTTTCTTTCTTTCAAATGGAGAATGCGGTATTTATACCAATCTACCAGTCAATTATAGATCTATCCTTGAATCACTTATTCTTTGAAAAAAAGAAACCCATAATCTATCACTAAGAATTACAATAGCATCAAATTATAAGTTTCCTTTCTTTCAAATATAGAGCGCAATATCATTGAACGCTCTGTTCAAGAACAGACCCGTCTCGCATAAAAAACGGCTTTCTCCGTCGCTCCGCGTCGCGACGGGTGTTGCGTCGTTCGTGTTTTCGTGCTACGCAAGAGACCGCGTCGGTGCGTCGCAGTTCTCCGACGAGACGGATAGAAAGAGAGAGGAAATCTCTCGCGATACAAACAAGGTCGATAAAATTGCGGCACTAGTTTCTCCGCGGCTGTCTCGAGTTCGCGAGAGAACCGCTAAGCTCTCGGTTAAGCTCGGAATCCTCGGTGAATATAAACAAACGATGCGTCGGCCGCGCGTTCACCGACGGCCGAATTAAGCGGCCTCGTATTACATAAGCGTCAGACCAATTACACGGGCGTGTGCGTTCTTAACGAGCCAGGACCGTCGATTGATTAATTGATTAAACACCACTGGCCGAAGGGATTGCGTAACGATCGCTTTCGGCTGTCCACTTTCAACTTCGATCCTTAATTGTCCGCATCTGCATTCCTGTAATAGAAACAGTGTTAGTAATAAATAAAACCGATGATAGATACAATGTCACAGAATCCATAATGAATATTTATATTAACACGTTGAACGCACGATTTCATAGAGCAAAGTACACTTTGGAAAAAATCCAGTATTTGATCATTCGACTGAATTATCATTGTACGTTCATCAAACCGAATGTCACCGCGATGAGTAGCATTATTTATAATATAGAATGTTTGCGAATAATTCGCTTTGCTTGGCGGTCACCGGTGACCCCCATAGCATTCGACGTGTCAGATAAGATCAATGATAGATGAACAGGATGATTAATAAACATTCGTCTCCCATATCTAACGGGATAATTAATTATTCTTCCAGTTCATCAAGGGATTTATACAAAGACAAAGATCTCGATACGAGCGGATGCTAATAGAGGCGGATTGAATAATTCCAAGGTGATCAATCAATTCCGACGAATTCGTCGGTCACTGTATATCTGTAAAGCGATTCCGTCCTGCCGCACTGTACAGTGCGACGGCAGGGTGGATTGATTTTTCGTCCCCTGACGTCACCGCGAGGCCAGCATGCGCGCGGTGGCTCGCGCGTAGCCGGCGGAGGTTCGTTCCCGACGCATTTTATTTTCCCCGTTCCTTCGACGCCGCTTTTGCGTAACGAAATCCGTCGGCATCCCTTTATGGAAGTCCTACGACGCAGAAACCAGACGCACAGTCGCCTCTGAGCTCTCTGAAACCTCTGACTCCATTAATCCGGCCGATAAAAACCATCGTCGCCGGAGTAATCCTCCAGCGGACACCAACATTCGTGTATACAGGTTGACTGTCTAATTGGACTGTTCGCAACTCTAATTAATCCTCTGCACTCGACGATATTTCTCATGAAAAATATTCATTACTTTCTGACTAAGTATTAACGATATTTTTCGCAACACTATCAACTATAAATATGTAGCTATAATCTATCTACTATAAATATATAATATATAAGTTATAGATCTTAAGTTATCTTCTATAAATTAAGAGACAGAACTTGCTTCAATGTTTTGTGTTAATACATTACACAAGGTTTAATATTGAATTGAAAATTTTATAAGTTTGCTGCGTCGAATCTGAGTGCAAAGGGCTAAGCTTGGCAGCCCTGCAGTACGCAGAGTTAATCTGAGAGACTAGCGCGGTTATCAGAGTTTTCTGGTAAAGACTATGAACCCAACGTTTAGCTAAATCAGCTAGGATTGTCTCTTGGAAGGGGCTCCACTGCGGAAGGGAAAGAGGGTAGCGTCGAGTGGGTGGCAGCAGACGAGTGGCTCGTGGCTCCGTGCCACAGGACGTTGCGGGGTCAGCGACGAGTTCATTCAGTGTCGCGCGGCTGCCTCGTGTCCTCTCTTCTCTCGCGAGCCTCTTCGAGAGCGCGTTCCCTCCCCCGTCGATTGATTCCCTCCTCCTCGGGTGACACGTAACCGTCGGAGACGCGGAATCGATGGTAGTCGCCGATCAACCAGCTTTCGCGGTTAGCTACAATAGTGTCGTCGAAGCTTCGCTGCACGCGAGTCGGGTTCCCCACTCTCGCGGCCAGTTGCCTAGGAGACCAAGACGCTAAGCATAATTGCCTGCTAGTAAGTAACTTCGCCAGCAGTCCTTCGCCATCTCTGCAGCGGTGGATAGTCCCGCTTCGAATCTGCAAACATTTCATTTCTCAACAACTGCACGTCCCTATGCTGGCGAGCCTTAGCTACCCCTCGGTTAACACGTTAAGCGCCACGAAAATCTTAAGCGTCTTCCCATAGAATTTGTCTTTTGTTGCAAAGAAAAGTGGGAATAATTATGAATCGTTTGACGTTGCAACGTTTGCGTATTATCAACTTAGTTGCCTTATTAAACATTTCTATTTCGCATCGATTGTTTTTGTCATTCAGAAGCGTCAGTCACCAGTGACTAGCATGGCGCTTAACGTGTAGCAGTGACTGCGGCGCGCTAAAGCTCCAGCCATGTCGCAAAGTTACACCGAGCGTCGCGAAAGCTACTCGCGAGGACAGACGTGTGGCGTCGAGGCTTTTGCAGCTTTCGCGACTGTGCGCGCGTGTTCCCCCGCCAAAGGAACTCGCTCAGCGTGGCGTAGCTCCGCGGCCACCGGTACGACATGCCTGACCTAGTACAGCATCGTTTCGAGTGCACACGTGCGCCGTCGTCGCGACGGGCCGCGCTTCTAGGCAGCTTAACGTCCGGTTTCGCGACGCTTTCCATCGACGACTTCGTCTAACCGACTTCCAATCTCCCAAGAGCCATGTAGACTCCTGAGTCTAGAAGGGAAGCGACAAGCTCGACAGACTACCCTTAGCTCCTATGCTTTCGTGGATTCACTTGGAACTTCTGTTCCAGACAATGTGACGAGAACATAACTGAAAAAGACAGGGTCTGCGATTCAGCGAGCCTACAAGTAGGAGCTACGCGCGCTTCGGCCGCCTGCTGCGATCTAAATCCGCGGATCGAGCCCCGTTCCGCGGCGGCCCGCCCCTCCCCACTTCTTCGATTCGCCAGGACGTCAGCTGGAACTTGCGTGGTGCGTCCTGGGTGTGCAGCGTGCCGCTGCAGCTTCTAGTCCGTTGCCGCGATCCGAGAGACGACCTGGGCGAGAGAAAGACGGATAGATTGACAGGCGACAGGCGAGAGGAAGAAAGACGGAGAGGGCTACAGTGGAAGCCGACGGTGTAGGGTGGTCCTGCTCGGACTTCGCGTCGCTCGACGTCGTCCTCGTCGACGCTCGCCGTTAATTCCGCCTCTCGCTCCGCGTCCGTCGCGCGTCCTCGAGTGTGTTCCTTGTGGTTTCGCAGTGGACGAGCCCGTTGCGGATGTTCCGGAGCGCCGATTCCAGGGTGTCGCGTGCACCGGTCAGCCTGCGAGTCGAGACGCGTCGGATCGGTGAAACGTTTATGATTCCTCAGTAGTGAGCAGTGAAAGACCGTCAGTGTCCATCGAAGCCGAAGACCCTGCGAGCCGACAGCATCGGTGAGTCGATGGAGATCTCTACCTTATCTACCTTGACTAAGGTGGCTCGGTTCGAGCTTGATTTCGGTGGACTGAATTGATCCCGTCGACTCGGTTGCCGAGCCGTGGACCCCGTCCTCGCTAGAACGTCACGCAGAGCAAACTGCTCGCGGTTCCCCGGCCGTCTCGGTCCCTCGGCTAACCTCTCAGCCGTCCACTTATGTAAGCGTCCCTGGCGCAGTACCGCGATTCTTTGTTGCACGTGGATTATACGGGTTCCTCGTGTCCGCTGGTCATCCGAACGTTGATTCTGCAAAGATCAATGTGCAATTTAGATTACAGCGATCGCGGTTAGGATGCTCGGACACCGGCACCGGATTCTTAATCCCCTAATTGAACTATCGCCGTGCGGGTCGCGAACCCTTACTGGGTCGCGCGATAAGTAAAATAGGTCGCGGCTCGTGGAAGAAATCTAATACCTTTGTCGCGTGCTGTCTTGAATGTTTGCGCCCCTTGGTAGGCAACCGTGTGTACACCTGTGTATTTTCATTATTTTGAGTATTCTGTTGGTGAGATTATCTTGCATTGAAGAGAATACCTTTATGTTGTACGTTGATTGAAGCTTCTTTAGTGAATGTTTTGGTAGTTGAAATGCTGACGTCGAATCCAACGTAGTTTCAAATGACAAACAGCAGCAGGATTAATTCTCAGCCCAGCCCTCTTCATCCCCTAATCCACTCGGCGTTCCTTGTTGTGTCCCCGTTAATCGTCTTCCGGGAATACCCTCAGGTTCGTCTTCCACGCGGCTAGACCTCTCCCCTTTCCCCCAGCAGTGAGTGTCCGCCGCGAAATCCCCGGTTACGTGTTCTGGTGCAACAGCCCGGTGAACTGAATCTCGATCGGGTCAGCACGTGCCAGCTCTACGACGGTCGTCGATTCCTGTCGATTAATTCGACCGATCAGCCGTCAAGGATGGGCCAGGCCGCGTCGTCGATTCCCGTGGATCAACCGTGTTGGCCTGACCCATCGACCTAACTCGCGCACAGTGGTCGCCGCGATACAGCCAGGTCGGAAATTAAACTGTTAAGGTACTTTGGACGTTAGACCTGATCCAGCTAACGCAGACCTGGCTCTTCAGAGTCGGCAGCAATTGACAGGATCTTGGGCTACATCAGAGCCTGTCAATTCATTTGTCCGGTTAATAGAGATATGTTTACTTTAATGCCCGGCCGATTTCGCCAGCTCGCTGTGTCGCGGCGACGACTATACGGTTCGTGTTTCACGCTCGGTTTGAACGAGCGGTAATCGCGAGATTTCGCGATTAGCCGTTGAAAGAGGTCGGCAATAAAGGCGACCGTTTACTTAATTAATGCGGTCGGCCCGCGAGTGAGACAGAGAGAGGGAGGGAGGACAGCTCGTTGATCCCGGCGATGATTCCCCGGCTCGGATCGCCTTTCTGATGGAATTGATTCAGCCAACCGGGACGAACGGTCCTCTGTCCCTCTTTCTTTGCTTTTCTTTTCTCTTTACGTTTCTTCTCCTCGTTCTTCCTTCCCTCCTCGCTCTGTCTTCTGTCGCCTGACCCGGCTGCCGAGTGCTTATTCTTCTGCAATGCGTCAGCCCGACGTCTGCACGCAACGCGAAACCGTTGACGAACGCGGCACGCGTAGCTTCGAGTTCGTTGCTGGAGCTTTGCTGTCCCGGTCGACGCGCTCCCGGTGCTCCTCCACAGTGAGAGTCTCGCTTCATCGTGAGTAATCAACGTTGCCAGTTGATCAGAGGCTGCCTGGAATTTCAAGACTTTCGAGAGCCGCATCTGAACGAGGCACATTTCTGTGAGTCTTCGGGGACTCTGTTCAATCGATAGTCGAAAGTTTCCGATGTACCGTGTTCACGAGCGGGTTCCAAAGTTGAGTGGTCGTCAACAAGTTGGAAATAAATCGTGCACCGTATGGGATCCTCGGTGTCGTCTGTGACACGGATCAAGGTCGCTGGAATCTTGAGCATTCCCAATTCATTGATACTCCTCGCTCTTCAGCCTGCGAAGAAGCAGTTGCAAAGTAAAACTCGCTAATTAGTGACACAATTCACATTCGTTACCTGGCAAAACCATGTGTACAGGTAGCAAGCTTTTAATTACTGCGTCTAATCCTTAGAAACCTGAATTCAAACGAGCATCTGTAGTCTAGTATCTAGTCCTCTGTTCACATTGCCGGTTCAAGGGTGAACAACTAGAAAACGAAAATAAAGGCATTGAACTTGTCGAACAAACTCCCTTTGGCTGTCTTTCCAAACGATTCTCATAGATTCGGATGTTCCTCTAACGCTCTCTTCCTCGTTAGATCGCATTCGGTGCTCGAGCCGTGCCGACCCAGTTCGCGGAGTTTCATTCAAGTCGTGTACCGTAATAACTCGAAGTGTGTGGTCGTCGTGAATGAACCCCGTGCCGGAATTAATGCGCATCGTCCCAGAAACTCGACGACTCGATTTACATTTCCTCTCGCGAAAGAAACAGAACGAGGAACCGTGATCGATCCGGGAAAGCTTCGAGGAACAATTTCAATTCCTCGAAGCATCGACCAAGTTCTCCACTTCGTCCTCGACAAATCGACGTTTCCAACGCTTTGCTAATTCCTGAGCTCTGCTTAAAGATTAATGTCAATGATAATGAAAGTTCCTTGGATCTACAAGATGCAAGTAACACGAAAGAATAATCGCAACGACTAATCTTGCCAGCAAGTAGCTCTGTTGTATTGAGTAGCTCGGTTTGATTCGCTAGAATTTCTATGGACAGACGGACAGCGCGTTAGCGAAGATTTCGAGGTGGAAAACGGTGGTTGATACGCGTCCGTTCAAGTTCAAGAGGTTCGAGGAACGTCGTGCATGCGGCGGCATGCATTTCTGGGTCACGCTCCCACCATTGACGCCAGCACACGCTTAACGATCGCGCGATAAGTTCAAGCTCGCCATCGTCGTCGGGCGTCTGTTTTCCTGAATCGTTGATCGTCTCGCGGCCGGTGATTCAGCCGGTCGCCGGCGGACGGACGGACTTGCACCACGTAGCCGTGGAACGCGTGGAATCAATAAGACCTTGCCAGAAGTTAACGACAACTTCCGAGGAGTTGCGACGCGTGACGCTCGGCTAATCGACGGTACATAAATAATTATTGCTCCGCCTCGCTGTCGGCAAACCGCGCGCTTTTCCAATATATTTCCTTCTCGTAGCTTTGGACAGCTTTCGGTTCCCTCGCAAAGTCTTCGATTCGACGAGAAGGTTCTAGTCGGTTGTTCATCTTGAAATATTTAAAACCTGCAAACGAGTTATAGGATTAGAACCGTCAAGTACTAACAGAATACCAAAGTAATTACTAATTAACTTGGATCGTCTTACTTGGACAGCTAGTATTCAGTGTTCTACAATTCTACTCCTTCCTCAGTGCTGCAGACGTAAGCGTAAAAATAAATTGGCTCTACGGTTGGATTTACAGATGATTTGCAGAAATAGCGCACTGCTGCACAGTGCATTTCCGTAGGTTAGGTGGCATAGATTGCAGTTGCACCGATAGGAACGAATATTGCCAGAGGCACGGAATCTACGCTGAAACTACCTGAATTCTTTCGCAATTATAAAGAGAACAAATGCTTCTCTGAAAAAATACTGAATTGATTTAGTAACACGCGAGGTGTAAGTTAATCGAAATCCCGATAGCACTCTCGGTTTCCACGGACAAATTGAAAAAAGTCAACTGCTCGGTGGTTCTATCATTAAATTGCGATTATTCGCATCGTCCCCTCGGCCGGCGGGCAATCGATTCTGCGAAGATGCGGCCGCGCTGATTGATAGGGGCGGATTCTTGCGATCGGAATGCATTCATTCACAGTCGGAGACGGCGGTCCGCAGAAGCGGCTATCGAACGACCGGACTTCGATTTTCCAGTCGCGCGACAGCTAGCAATTGTTCTGCATAGACACGTATAGACGGCGTTGACACCTAGCACTGCCGCGTCGTCTCCTATCGCATAGCTTTCGCAGTATCCGCGGAGATAACGATAATGTCACGCGACGCTCTGACCTTTCCGGCTCACTCCGTGCGGATAATTGTTGAAATAATTGGGCGTGGACATTGCTAACTGGGAGTTCCATCGTACGATTTTAGAGCTGGATATATTTAGAGAATAATAATATACGGTAATAATAATTGTATTGTTATAGAGTATATATAATACTATTATTACCATATTTTACTATTCACCAACGTTTCTCTCTAATATTACTCTGATCTTTGAATCTAATATTATTACTCGACTCGAATGACATCCATGTATGCAATGTCACACTATGGAAACATCAGCAACGATCTAACGTCCCGGTCCGTCGAAACGGAGATATTTTAAGTGACTCCGCGGGCCAATATCTCGCAAATAAAGCCAGCCCAGTTGGCCTCGGGTTCGACATCGAAATTGCCTCGCGTGTATCGAGCAGATGTCGCGAACCGTCCACTTCCCGGCTCCGTTATAAATAAACCAATGGAATTCGGTGGAAATCGCGGGCCGGTTCGCTCGAACTTCTCGGTCAAAGTTCGAGACTTAAAAGCCTGGCTTCGGCTCCTCGCCGCCCGTTGTCTACGCGCCGCCGTCGTTCAGGGTTAAGGTGATATCGAGGTTGAGGTTGAAGTTGCGAAGGTTCGATACTAAATATAGAGGAGACGCTTACGGGGTCAAATCAATAGGCATCCTGCGTGTATGTATATGCACGGTGCCCTGAACGAACGGTGCACGGTACCTTAAAATACTACCCCGCCCACGCGATCAACCGCGAAAGATTTCGTACTGTCATCTCCGAGGTGGTTGGAAATTCGCGGCGTCTTCATTAATCTTCCAACAGCCAGGCTCTTCCCTCGAAGACTCGCCTCTCTCGGCTGAAGTACCTGAAAATAGACCTTACAGTAGCCTCCATTCCAAACCGAATTTCCTTAATACTAGAACTACTGGACACTTACACCAGCTTTCTAAAATGTCTGTAAAAGTTACAACCGTGGATTCACCGAGATTCTGACTTACATTTCTTGGGTATAACTAACTCAGCTTCTTTGATTCACTGGATATTTGTTTCTCTGATAATCTGTAAAGACCAAAATAGTTACAGGATTCTAGCATCATCTGTGTAACGGGGTAACCTCGTTTCTCAGTTCCAGGACCGTAGAGCGAGCCGATAGCGGGATCTGATCCTCCGGCCGGGGTCGGATGTGGTGGACGTGTTCAGCCGGGGGAAGGACAGCGGTTCCACCGACGGCGGAGGTAGCTGAGCGTTGTCGTTCGGACGAGCTGGCACCTGGACGGCCGTATTGGATGAGCAGGGGTGATTGTCGGTGATGGACAATGAGCAACCGCATCAGGAACTGGTCAAGTGCGTGGTCGTCGGCGACACGGCAGTCGGAAAGACCAGACTGATCTGCGCCAGGGCCTGCAACAAGCACGTGTCCCTATCGCAATTGTTGACCACCCACGTACCGACCGTCTGGGCCATCGACCAGTACAGGATCTACAAGGACGTAAGACTTAGCAGTTCTCAACAGTCTCCGTCAACGAGAATGTCCTGCATTATTCCATCTTCATTCACTCTTCCTCCCATTTTTCCTTCAGATCCCTTCGTTTAACCCTTAGCAGTCCTATGTCGAGTCAGACTCCTCTACCTCTACCTGTTTTAACAGTTTTTTCTGTAGTATCACAATTGTACCATTTAAAGGTAACATTTCAACTCCCAAATATTCTTGAATAAATAAATAGAGCGTCATATTGAACCTCAAAGTCAGAAGCCAAGAGCACTTCGGACCCCAAAGGGTTAAACCTCTTCTCACTAGGGGTTGTAGGACACCCAAGGACGGTTTGACGATAGCCAATTATTTTCTAGGTTTTAGAACGTTCCTGGGAGGTGGTGGACAACGTGAACGTATCCCTGAGACTCTGGGACACGTTCGGCGACCACGAGAAGGACCGTCGATTCGCGTACGGCAGGTCGGACGTAGTGCTGCTATGCTTCTCCATCACCAACCCGGTGTCCTTGCGGAACTGCAAGGCCATGTGGTACCCGGAGATAAGGAGGTTCTGCCCGCAGACACCGGTGCTGCTGGTGGGCTGCAAGAACGACCTGCGGTACATGTACCGAGATGAGACTTATCTGAGCTACTTCCGCGACCGCAGCCCTTTCGTCAGGTGAGTATGGAACGTCCATTGACATTCCTCTTTTTCATTCTCATTCTCTCTTCTTCATGGCTCATTCGGCGCTCCGCGACGTTGAGCTGCATTTAGGCAACGACGAGACAGAATTGAGGAGCCTTGACATATGTAGCGCCTCTCGGGGGATTCCTAAAGTTCACCGTGACTTTCAGACCCTCCCCAGAGATTTTCATTGATTCTGTCCTTTTTTGTTTGCCGTCTAGGGCGACGAGGAAGAGCGACCTGGTGATGCCTGACCAGGCTCGAGCCGTCGCCAGGGAGCTGGGAGTCTGCTACTACGAAACCAGCGTCTTCACGTACTACGGGGTGAACGAGGTGTTCGAGAACTCGATACGCGCCGCGCTGATCGCGCGCCGGCAGCAGCGCTTCTGGATGACGAACCTGAAAAGGGTGCAGAGGCCTTTGCTTCAGGTGAACATGTTACTTGAGAAAAGATTCTTTGAATATTAACCCCTTGCTCTATGATTCCTTTCTGAACTGTGATGGATTTAACTACTTTGATATTAGTGATTCATTGAAGCTAAGAGAATTCCAGTTTTCTATGTCAACGTGTCTAAGGTATCATCATTGACAACAGAGGAATAACATTTAATCTGACACGATATTGCAGGGCAAGGGGTTAAACCTAATACTTCATGTACTCACGGCGATTGTTTAAAATTGTTATCCTTGATGATTCTTGCAGGCCCCGTTCTGTCCGCCGAAGCCAGTGCCGCCAGAGGTGTGCCTGGCGGCGAGCACCTACGAAGAGAACATGAAAACGCTGTGGGCGAAGCCAGTTCACACGGACGTGACCCTGATCGCAGGGAACTGCACGTTCTCGGCGCATCGGTGCCTCCTGGCAGCGGCTTCGCCGGCGTTTCACCGGCTGTTCACGATGGAACTCGTTCAGGAACAGACGCCTAGGAGCTCCAGCGAGTCCAGCATGGTGCGACAACGTTGTTCTCGGTATCACTGTACCCCAGAATCCATAGAGTATCATTTTCCCTTATCCTCTTCCAGGTGAGCACATTCGGCGAGGCGACTGTCGGGGACTTCAACGATGACACCGAGTGTCTGATCCGTATCGACCAGTCCAAACCCTCAAAGTGAGTCGATCCCTTCGAGTCTAAGGCCCAGTTGACACGACCAAGCTTGACAGTCGCCCTGTTGCAGGATCTGGGAGCAGCTGAAGCGGCGCTCGAGCTTCCAAGTGTTGCCCACGATGGACAGCCAGAGGAAGTCCACGGGAGCGACGAGGGAGCTGAACCATCCCGCGTTCCAGAACATTCGTGTCTGCCTGGTGAGCATCTCGTATCCGGTTGGTAAACGAAGGGAACCGGCGACTTGATCGATTGGACGTTGCAGACGGAGAGCACGAACGGTGTCCAGCAGCCGACGACCGTGGTGACGCTGTCGAAGCTGATCACGCCGCAGGCGATGCAGCAATGCTTGCAGTTCATATACACGGGCAGCTTGGATAAACGGTATCACGATCTGCAAGTACGTTGCAAGTCGGTAGAATATTCTATGGGATTAGACGGTGAACGCGGCCGCTAAACCTTGCCGCGACTAACGGAGCGGAAACGATTGTTTCGCGTTCCTTTCCGAGCGCCGCGGGTACTTTAGCCGGGAAAGTAAACGGGGCTGTGCAGATCTCGCCCTTCGTAGACGTTCCTTGCTTTAATTGATGTCTTTACGAACAACGCCATCACGGTACATGGCAATTAACGCGGCTCTATTCTTTCAGACAGCTCCTATCGGGCTTCTACTGGTTAGTACCAATATGTGAAGTACAGTTTGCTGATAATAACCGGCGCACACGCATATTACACGCATACACGCACGTAGTAGTGTATCCCATAGGCATAGTTGTCGGGGTGTCGAGATCTCCGGGGAGTTCGAGTTCGGTGATCACCGTAGTTGTCGTCCTGGCATGTTCTTCTTGTAAACCCGAGCCTCTCGAGGCAGCGTGCGAGATCGTGGATGCATGGGAACGCTTCCAGTAAACCCTTCCATACTCAATGATCAACCCGGGTGTCCCGAGTTTAGAGAACGGATACGCCCACACCGATCACCCCGTGGTAACCTCGCATCGGTCGGTGATCGAGCTCGTTTCCTTGGTCCGCAGGAGATCAGGCAGGCGGCCGAGTTTCTGGAGCTGCCGCAGCTGCTGATGGTGTTGGGCACCTTGCAGTCCAGGGAGTTCAACAACGAGCTGAACAACAGGTACAAGCAAGTGGTGAGGCAACGACTGGAAGACATCTGCCTGGATCAAGGTAGCTTTCTCAGATAATCCTCAGCGCGGTAGTGGTTGATCCTAAACTCGTCGCTACCTTAGGACTGTTCGCCGACGTGATGTTCGACTTGGACGACGGTAGTGTGCCAGCACACAAAGCGATTCTCACTGCCCGCTGCGACGTGATGAAGGCCATGTTCTCCGGCGATTTCCGTGAAAGCAGCGCGAAAGTAGTGAGTATCGGCTTCCGTAGATTACAGTTCACTCCAGAATCCCGATTAACGTCCGGCAAAATAGATAGTGTTCCCGGGAGTGCGCGAGTACACGTTCCACAAGTTGCTCTGTTACCTCTACACGGACGAGGTGCCAGCGATTTCTTCTGGCAGATGCCTGAACCTCCTGGAACTGGCGAATCGCCTGTGCCTGCAGCGACTGGTGAACCTAGTCGAGAGCAGAGTGATCGAGGACTTGGAGAGGCTGTCGCAGAACGAGGGGAACGAGGCTGTGGAAAACTGCCTGAGGCTGTTGGAACCTTGCAAGGTCAGTCCTTTCATTCCAGACTCATGAAGAATCGACAGCGATCGATCAAACCCGTTTCTTGGTTGCAGCTGCACAACGCCGATCAGTTGGCAGATTGGTGCATGAACCACTTGTGCGTCAACTACAATAAGCTCTGCAAGATGTCCCCTAGGAGCGTCCGTCTTCTTCATCCGGAGAACCAGGAATACCTGAACGAGCATCGGTGGCCTCCAGTATGGTAGGAGACGACGGCGTTTCCCCAAAGGTGTCTCGACAGTTTCTGAAATGAATGTTTGATGTTAAACCAGGTACTTGAAGGACTACGATTACTATCAGAAGTGTTTGGCGGAACGGGACCGCGAAAACAAGCCTACCCTGAAGAGGAACCGCAACCAGTCCGGCTGCCTGTGCTTCTCCGGGTCCAGCAAGACGAGGAGGGAGAGCTCCGGGAACGGCGGGACAGCGTCGTCCGCGTCGAACGACCCGCAAGCGGAACGCCCTCTGTTCGACTCGTCGATAGAATCCGGCGAGCAGGTTGTATGACAACAGCCAAGCGGCTTAAGCCGCTCCGTCAGATTCATTCTGATCCTACCCGTGCTCATGGTCTTCATATGCACCATTTTTACTATTTTGATACTGCTACAGATTTATACTTAAGGAACGATTCCGAAACACCGACAAGACGAGTCCTATGCGCGTACGATAATAACGGAACCCTCTGATAATCAGGAGCGTCGCCTGGCCTCCTTATCGATATTTGTCTCGCACGTGACCCGGTGTCTCTGCACAGCTGGCGCACGACTCTTCACCGCGGAGAACTCGGGTGTAGGTTTTCTACGATTATAAACGAATTAAAAAATGTTGAATACAAAAAAAGAAAAACAAAACGCGACGCGAAATTGCCCCGCGGAACTGGTGTATTTTTTGTACGTGAACATCTTCTTGCGCTGTCGTTGGAATGATCAGCTCAAGCGCGTCTTTTCCGAAGGGGACTCTTCTCTCACGGGCGTCCGTCGTTTCTCGGAACGAAACAAGCTGGTGCCTTTTTCTCGACGACGCGTACTTGCCGCTGATAACGACCCACGCAGCGCGACGCTGTCACCCGAACAGAAAAAGAAAGATCATGAGATTTCAGTTGTTTCGGTCGGTTGTGTGATTGTCCCGGATAGAGTGGTCGAGTCCCGGCGTACCTTGCATCCGTCGACTCCAAATCACGAGGGAACTTTTCTACGTTGAGGCTTCTCTGACACGGTAACGCTGGTACCTTCTCGTACACCTGTCCTATCAGAGGAGATTTTCAGTATTTTAAAATCTATTTCCAGTCCATTTTAATTCTAATAGTTAAAAAATTGCGCCTATACCTCGACATGCACGGACGTACGTCGGGTTGCCTACCGGATGGGCATCCATTGGCACAGCGACGACTTCAGACTTCCTGAAAGGACAAGTGAAATTAGTGTCCAGCGTTAGCGAGATTTAGAACGAATGTTACCAAAAAAAAAGAGAACGAGGAACAGCGAAACTGAAGTTCGGATTAGGGACGTCCGATTGGAGCAGGCGGCAACCATCAAACGGTGTCGACGATCGTCGTACTTTTATCGATGCGTATTAGACTGAAGAAACAGAGCAATAGTTTTAGTCCGTAGTAGACGTTGCGTTGCGAGCGATCAGCGAACGGTTCCGTGTCGTTTGCTTCAACCGTTCGGTCCTCCACCCCACCGAGGCGAGGTTACAATTCCTTCGAGTGCAAGGAGAGACTTCTCGTGTTTCTACCATTTTCTAACGACCCACGATCACACGTAATCACTGGCGTCGGCGATTACCTTTAAGCGGAGGGGACGCGTGCAGTTGAATCAGGCGCGAACGAGGTATAGGACCATCAACGAACTCGCATCGGGTCTTCCTTGTTTTATACGGATTTGATATCTCAGTTTTTCTATCGGACAATTAATCCCTTCCAACCCGTTCGACTTGGATGACTTCTCGTTTCCTCGCTGGTCCGGTTGCATTCGCCCGCTTCATTTGCCTCGGAGCTCATGGACCACGGTTTCAGAACCACCGCTCTGAAGTACCCTGATCTTGAATTTTACTAGAACACGTTATTTAGACGTTAAGCCCCAGTCCTGTACCTCGTTTGTCAATCGAAACAGGGGTCTGGGATTGTCTAATTACCGCAACATATCGATCACGATGAAGGGTTACTGCTAGAATTAATAAACGGGATTCTGGTAATAATAATTACTTCTCTAGGTTATGAGAGAGAGAGAGAGAGAGTGAGTGTAGAACGAGTGCAATAATGTTTATAGAATATAGCGCGGAGCTTCAGGTGTATCCTTGTGTAAAAGTGAATCCACTCGTACTAGTAGTCCTGGAGAATTGTATTTTGTAAGTGCACAAATCGTGGTAACCCGCGCCTCAGAAGAAACGTAACCTCGCGTTACGAAGGGCCAGTCGCGGTGAAGTTCTCGGAGGGACAGGAAACGATCTGTAATGTTAGCGATCGGTATTCAAATGGAAAAGCTGTTTAATAATTTGATACTCGTTAGTTCGTTGTTTCGCCGTCGCGAAGACCGGTCAGTACACACGTTCATTGTCCGAGTAAGAGGAAGATAAATAATGATGTGCAGGAAAAGAGAAGGAATTATAAATGGTTTCGAATTGAACACGCGGAGTTTGGAGAAACACGTGTAACCGTTGTGCTGCCATAACTAATTTTCCATTGTGTGTAACCACGTGTATACGAGACACGAGCGCGCGTCGGTAGTGATGGGTAACGACCGCCCGCGAGTTCCCGAACAACTCCGAAATTCGAGACGCCGTTCTCTCATTAATTTTCATTCACTTGGATCAACGTTCGAGCCCATCGCGACATTTACGAGAGAAACAAAACGCATACACCGTCGTAAGATGCGTTACTGCCTGAATATCGCTGACGGAAACGACGTATGCAAAGTGTCCGTTCCGGCGAGGGTAAGAATCGTTAACGTCCCACTTGTACGCTACGTCAATTTCGATGTCAATGTTGTCCTACGTCGCTCGTGAATGTATATTTTGTACTGACATTGGTAACCGTAGAATTAAGGGTACGAAGACAGACGTCTAGAGCGATAGAAAGTCGAAGATGTTTCAAATTTCGCGCGTATTTTAGCACGTTGCGAGCTCTCGAATTACATTTGTCCGTGTGTAAAGAGGCATTTGCGGGCGACAGAGTTCCCCTTTTCAAAGGTAAACGCGCCTGCCACTGCACATTTCGCGAAACAAGGATCTTGCCGCCTGTTCTAAAGTACTTAGGTGCGTTTCCAATTTTTTCCGATTTTCCAACATTCTTTCCGCTGTTTTCTTTCTTGTTCTTTTGAAATATTCCCGCGCTCGCAAGGCCTCCAATCCTAACTCGACGCGATCGCGACATCTGTTCTCGAATCGTGCAAACTGATTGATCCGTAGAAAGTACTTGCGATGTGTTGCCAGTTCGGTCGGTAATAAGTAAACTTGGTCTTGTTAAGAATTTAAGCATAGCTTAAGTCGTTTAAGACGTTATGAAAATTGTCGAAGCGTTTCGTATTACCGTGAACGACGAGTAAATTGTTCAACTATAACAAATGGAAGTATTCGTCGTGACGGTGACATTTCATTGTTTGGATACGCCAATTCAAACGGCGATGCGATTTACGCACTGATTACAACGCGGTTTAACGTTTATATTTCGCGAGTTCAATTGTTCCGTTGCTTCGATCACACTGTTGACTAATTACGATGCAAGTTGGTTTTCATCTAATGGGATTTCAAATTTGAACATCACGCTGGAACAATTGGTACTATGAACTTTACGACTTCAAATTTTACCCACGCAATTTTAAGGATTATATTCAATTGTAAACTTCAGGATCATTGTGAAAGAAATCAATCGTTCGGAAGTCTCGACTGACAATCCAAAACGATTTTTCGGGTGTCTTGACGGCTGTTAATCAAGACAAGACGACGATGTGTATTTCAAATTTCATTTTACTCGCCTAAAATAAAAGCAAAGCTGTATATACGTATGTATGCATGCCGCTTCGAGAAATATGATTTTTATCTTAAGCTAAATTTTAATATTCTATTTTCAAATGCACAGGCGATAAATAAAACTAATTTTTAATTAAACTTCAACAGTATGGCAATAAATTCTGTCTCCTTTCGCTGAGATCTTGATGTTTATAGGATGAAGAAAAAAAAAGTCACCATTATTTTTTCTTTTGTATATTTTTATTTTCTTACATACATTAAGCATTTGCAAATGAATTGTATAAAAAGTGTGTTGCTTTGGGTAACTTGTGAACTAATTCTTGGTAATACTTGTTGTCTCAGAAAATGGGAAAATAGTTGTTTCCTGGTAAATTCATTCATTCTATTTACAATGGTATCAAAGGCACAATAGATGTTGAATAGAATATTACAATGGTGTTGATAATGTCACCATTGCAGTTTTAATTTCTTCGTATAAGTCTTTGTAGTCATCATGCTCTTTAATTAGTACCATGAGGCTTCCCCTTTTCACACCCATTGCATTGCCAATATCTTGCCTAGATGGAGTGTAACAGTAAGGAATGTTTTTGTCCTCGCAAACAACTGGTAAGTGGCACATGATTTCCAAAGGAAAAACATCTCCCGCAAAGACCACCAACCTAACAAATAAGATACTTCTTGATATACATATTTCCATAATAGATATAACTAAGAAAATTATATATTACCCCTGTTCCCCTTTACGAAGATGCTTTTGCACATCCTTCAAACCATTTCTAAGATAGGTCTTCTGTTTTGAGGCTAAAATGGTTACATTAAAAATCAGAAATATTGCAAATGTACTGTTAGAATTGTAATGGCATTAAGAAAAATGTTTACATTTATTTTGACCGTACATACCTTTCTTAATACATTTATAAATCTTTTTTGTTAGCTTCTTAGAAGCCATAGGCTGAGATATGGCATTCACATACTTTAATTTTTCTTCGTAACTGAGCTCTGTATTATCTGCGCCATCAGCTTCTTTTATACTATCGTCGACTTCCATTTTAATCGGTGTTTCCAGCATTTTATAAAATAGTAGTAGTTACCAAATTTGTCGAATCTTTATTTTGTTCCGTGCACGTGTTTTCATTTACTGTTCACCCCACTCTGAATCCTCAAGACTCACCGCCAAAATGAGAGATCAATTTCTTTTCACAAAAGTAATACAAATTGCAGTTAAACTTTTCTTTCTATAGGTCTCACGTAATTTAAGACATTTATCTGAATCGATATTAAGTACTAACAAGTGTCGATTTTAACGTTATTAATTAATATTTAATATTTTAGTAACATAACCTTATTTCGTAACAATTACACCGCCATCTACGGCAAAACGACCAAGCTACTAGTCAAATTAGTGCGTACTTACACTGGCAGCTGTCGCCACGTGTCCCTAAAAGTTCACGTTTTTGAAAAATTAATAATTAAGAAGAAAGATACCAAGCAATTAGTTCCATATAATGTCTCATTAGTCTACAGCATTTATTAGAATCTCTTTATTATGATATTTTGACCGAATATGTTTTGAATTGTTTTTGTGCTCCATCTATAGACACTGGACTGATACTAATTGACTAGTAGCTTGAACATTTTGCCGTAGATTGCGCCAACGATGCCATTTTGACTACATAACTGAATATTACATTTAAAATTGTTTCTATCACCACGAATCGTCTTTCTATCATTACGGCTCACGATTTTAAATAATATAATTATTTTTAAACAAAGGATCGTCTCTTTCTTTTACAGAAATTGCCTAATTTTAGGCACGTGCGTGAACAATACCCGAAGGAAGTTACTGTTCTGAGCATGCGCCAGTCTTGTTGTGTCGTTTCCGCTTGCGTCCTTCTTCCTTTACGACCAGGTAAGGCGTGCGAGCTGCCTGGTTAGTTTATGTCTGATGCGTGAAAAGTTTTAAAAGGAACGTGAGATGGTAAGAAACCTTCCATTTCGTTTGGATTTCATCGTAGTCCGTCTGCTAATATAATCTTTCGTTAAAAAAGGAGTCCGTAGTTTATCTGAATTTTACTGTAAAACTGTGACCCTAGTGTCGGCCGCATCGTTGACCACGTGTGAGAATTTTTAGTATATAAACTGATCCAACCTACATCCTAGAACATGTTCAGTTTTTGCTTAAAGAGCCGTGCATTTTATTTTTCTTTTATTATAATTCGTTACACTTGCATTATTTTTATATACAAGGAATGTTGATTTTTGATATTATGGTTTCGATTCTTTCGTCCGCCATGTGCCGTGTCACTGACTCCATCAAGCTCCAATCACAACATGAGTCTTTTAGTCTGTCGTTCTTTGTTAATTTATCTCCTATCGTCGGCTAATTATAATTTATGTCAGCTAATATAATTGCATGATTGTTTATCTTCTCGCAGTCGTTATCAACGGCGCGACCGCTTGTTACGGTGTACACCGACAAAAATGAGTCCTCTGGAGAGACTATTTCCCTGCCTGCTGTATTCAAAGCACCTGTTCGGCCAGATATCGTAAATTTCGTTCATCAACAAGTCTCAAAGAACAGCAGACAGCCATATTGTGTGTCCAAGGAGGCTGGTGAGTGTCCTTTGCACCCTTTTGCTCTTTGTTTTGTTAAAGAACTAATTGCAGCATTATTATTAAATGTAGGTTTCTTTTGTTAGGTCATCAAACCTCTGCTGAATCATGGGGTACCGGACGTGCCGTTGCACGTATCCCCCGTGTTCGTGGTGGTGGTACCCATCGTTCTGGTCAGGGTGCCTTCGGTAACATGTGTAGAGGAGGTCGCATGTTTGCCCCAACCAAGCCCTGGAGACGTTGGCACCGTAAAATCAATGTTAACCAGAAGAGATACGCTCTGGTTTCCGCTATTGCTGCCTCCGGTGTCCCAGCTCTAGTACAATCCAAGGGTGAGCATTGAATTATAGTCCTAATCGATCGTAGGACAATATTATTTTCATGATGATTTGCTTTGGTCCGTGTTGCTGAGTTTCATTGATTATAGACGTGGCATTGTGCTGAGTATTTTACAAGGAGTTGAACAGTGTTCTCTTTAATGGGAACAGTAGTCATATTAATCTCTAATTTGCAGGTCACATGATCCAGGAAGTTCCAGAGTTTCCCCTGGTAGTATCCGACAAAATCCAAGAGTATAACAAAACCAAGCAAGCTGTTATCTTCTTGAGGCGTATGAAGGCATGGAATGACATCCAAAAGGTAGGCGTATTTCTGAACGTATAATATGCACTGTAGAATGTCCGCATCTCTATTAAAATACGTTTAATTTAGATGCTCCTATCAAGTGCTAAATAAACATGGTTATCAGGCGTTCTAGACTAGCACATTCATTTGTTAGAATGGGGAATTGGTAGCCAAACACGAACACAATGAATTTTCTTCAATGGACATAGTAAAACGAATTTTTATCTTACAGGTCTATAAATCCCAGCGTTTCCGTGCTGGTAAGGGTAAAATGCGTAACCGCAGACGCATTCAACGCCGTGGACCTTTGATCGTCTATGGTGAAGACAAGGTGCGTGCACCATTGAATTGAAACAAGAAAATCAGTTCACAAGACTAACAATCAGTTTCTTCACTAGGGTATTCGCAAAGCGTTCCGTAACATTCCTGGTGTAGACCTCATGAACATCAACAAAGTGAATCTACTGAAACTGGCACCTGGTGGTCACGTTGGACGATTCGTTATCTGGACAAAATCTGCCTTTGATAAGCTGGACGCTCTCTACGGAACCTGGCGCAAGAAATCCCAACTGAAAGCTGATTACAACTTGCCATTCCCCAAAATGGCGAACACAGATTTATCGAGACTTCTGAAATCCGATGAAATCCGCAAAGTCCTGAGAGCACCAAGGCAAGTACCGCTTCACGTTACGTCGTACAGTTTGTCTCTCATTCGTGATGAAACCTATTGGTCCGTGTTACTGATTGACAGTGATCATTCTTACCACAACTGATTATTTCCGTTGTCTTGACACAGTTACTCGTGCGTTTGCAACGCGTGTATTAACGATCCGTATTATTTCAACTTGCAGAAAGAGGGTGGTACGCAGCGTGAAGAAACTGAACCCGTTGACCAACACTCGAGCCATGTTGCGTCTGAACCCGTACGCAGCTGTGCTGAAACGCGCTGCCATTTTGACCGCCAAGAGGCGCCAACAGGAGAGAGATGTTATTCTAGCCGAGAAGCGTGGAGTAAGTATACCCTTTAGTTCCTCAAACCGTGAATTTTTCGCATGAAATCCTCTAACCTGAGAACAATGTGTGCGCAGCTGAAACTACCAAAGAGCACACCGGCAGTTAAGTCCAAGTTGCTGCAAGAGAGGCGCAGGAAACAGATGTTGGTCCTGAAGGCGGCCAAGCCGGAAAAGGCAGAGAAAGCTGCGAAAAAGGCAGCGACCGGAACGGCTAAACCCGCGAAAGCAACGAAAGCTACGAAAGCTACGAAAGCTGAGAAGCCAGCGAAGCCCGCCGCGGAGCCTGCCGCGGAGCCCAAGAAGTAAAACCTTTTTATCGACAACACGTTGTTGACCCACGAGCTTTATTTGTTTTAAATAAAATAATGGGAAGACAACTATAGGACGGCGACCTTGTAATTGATCTCCACTACCTGCGACGAAGATAACACGCCGACACGAATATGTAACCAAAGAAACACATGCACACGTACACGCATCTTATCTTTTCCTGATAGGGGCACGCACGAAGATCTTGTCGTTGGCGACCTCGAGCGACGCTTTCTTCGCGTTCGCCTCCGGCGGCATTTGAAAGTTCAAGTTCCTGACGCGCGACCAGTCCTGGGAATCGTGTAACTTTACGTTCAACGTGTTCTCGGTGGCCAGAGTAGCCGCCCCGACCTTCAAACCCTCTATCTTCATTTCCGCCTGTAATTGTACAAGTCATCCTCCGATCATTTCCATTCCACGTAAGCGAAAAGACAGAATTCAATGCAGACGTACAGCGTAGCACTCTTTATTGTCAATCACGTAAAAGTTGGGAGCTTTGTGGAACTTGAGGCTAGTCCTAACTCCGCTCGACATCGCGTCGAAGTTAGAGTAGTCGCCTTGTTTCAAGGTAGTCGCGTTCTCGCGACAGTGCGGCGGTAAATTGGCCATGCGAAGCGGTTCGAATTTACAGGTGAAGGGAAATCATGTCAAACGGTCGATCCAGGACTCTGATGTTGTCCACGAGCGATCATCGATTGTTCGTTGCATACAGCGTGTCCTGATCGCCTGACAGCGTCAAGCGAGATGCCGTTCGTCTCCTCAGCCCTTCGTCATTAACTTCTTCCTCGCTTTACTAGGTTTCAGCGAGGGCGCCGTGAGAACCAGCATCCTCTGCTTATTGTCCACCACGGCTCGCACCTTCTCGCCGTCGATGTCGCTCGGTATCAGCAGGTTCTCGCAGTGCCTCATCGTTCTCTTAACGAGATCACCGAGCACCGACCTCTCGGTGATCTCCGGCAGTTGACTGGCCAGTTGCTCGTTCAACGGCTTGCATGCGTTCACGCGAAGGTTGCTGCCCTTCACCGTGATCTTGATAGTGGACATGTCCACTTCTGGCGCCAGCAGCATTCTCGCCTGAAACAGGAAATCAGAAATAGCGTGTTAGGTAACAGACCCAGCGATTACTAATGTTAAGCGACTGTTCGATCAACTGATTGCGGAGTTTCATGCTGAAATTTTTCAGAATATTGGATTTGTAAGAAGCACTATGCTTTGGAGACTTTGTATGTTTGCCTTGTGAATGCATGAAAATCTGTGGTCTGTTTGTACTTGTATATCGACAAACCTCGTAGACATTGTCAGGCCTAACTCCTATGGAGACGATCTGCATGGCGTAGCCAGTGTCCGGGGGTTTTACAGCCACCTTCACGGGCTCCGGCCTCGCGTTGACCACCAGCGGGCCGGCTTTCTTGAGGAACCTGAGGGACGCCGAACACTTTGGACAGTGGCCAGTGTCCACCACCACGTCCCCTTCGCTTTTCATGCATTGACTCGTTTTTGCGTGCATTTTCCAGATCCGCGGACGAACGCTCTCATCGCACTGCGAAGAATCTCGAGGAGGACTCGCGTGGATCAGCGACGCCGCTCACGGTGAAGTCTTCATAGAATTTTCTTGAAAGTCGAATATTCCCTGAGGAGGAACTCGGGGTGTCACTTGTCAATTTGGGAAATTTGAGACAGGTGAACGTCGGTGGAACAGTAGACGGTTGGGCAGATTCGAATCTCGGCCCATGTGATTCTGTTTCGAATGCTTTGGAATGTCTTATTTTTTAGTTGTCTACACAGAGATGAACCGGAGGTCGCAGAGTTCAACGAGAGAACGGTAATTCGTTTCTACCCTAGTCTTTAAACCAAATAAATTGGACAGAAAGAAAATAATCAGGATTCTGTTTTGGTTCGATTCCGTTCTGACATTTTTATTGTAAATTACAGGTGTGGAGTGTGTTTGAGGATGCGTGATGAAGGAATTGTGACTGCACTGAGTTGAGGCTGCGGGTTTCAGAGTGGTTTAACGTGTTCCGTGTGAGAGGTTTCAGAGAGTGATTGGAGGTGAATCTGTTTTTTTATTCGCCGTTAATTGTATGTTGATTGAGAGAGTATCGAACGAGAGACGACAGACGGGAAGAGGTGCCGCCTCGGCGGGCCGGTAGTTTGTTTAACATTCGTGTCTGCATTGTTTGAAACGCCTGCGCGAATTTCCTTGGGAATGGACCGCCGCCTGGTAGGGGTAGCGCGGGATTCAGGGTCGAAATTGCACGGCGGTTGAAAAGCATCGGACACCAGTCGAGGACAGACGGTCTCGCGTTTAAGTGATCCATCAATTCCATGTCGCCGTTGGCCCTGTTCCTTCATTACGGAGTTTTCGCCATCACTTTCGGTTCTGGTGAGTCTTCGCTCGTCTCGCTCTCCATCTTTCAACGTTCTCTATTTTTTTCGTCGAATCCTCCGTTGGTGTTGTTCTCTTTCATTTAATTGATTGTTATTGTTCTTTCCATTGACGCGTACGTGTACACACTTCGACGTACAAGGTACAAGCTAAAAGACAAATACAAGACCACCGAGAAGGCCGAAGGAAAGTGATCGAGTGCGAAAGGAAAAAAGAAAGTGACGAGCTCATAGGAGAGACAGATGGTACAGTTACACGATTCGATTCTATTTTGAAAACATTCCCCTGTGAAAGCTGTGTTCATTAATTCAGTCCCTTGTCTCGTGCCACAGAACAGTAATTTATCTCCTGAACCTTTGGATCGTGAATTTTAATTGGATCCGTCGTGGCAGTTTTAACGTTCGCGCGTTTATTTGACGCGTGCTAATTTCAATTTCTCTTGAATTTCCTAATTAATATTCGCTTTTCACTGTTCGCCAAGTGTTTGACTTTGATTATCACCGTTGAACCGCAAGATTCTTATTTCGTCATTAAGAGTATGAAGATGCTTTCCTAATTTTTACAAGAAATTCTAAATAGCTCGGTGGTTCCAGTGTTAACGAGATAAGGGTCATTAGCTGCGCGGAACGGACTCGGTGCCGTTTCGATCCGCGATCGGTGGTCGAGATTCGATCCGGACGCCGAAGACCGCTAAGGTAAACGATTGATTAAAGACTCCGCCGCGACGATTAAGGCCAATTTCTTCTGTCTGTCCGGGTAACCGGATTGCTCGCCGTCCCACAGGATTTCCGGCAGCCGTCGGTCCGCCAGTAAACGGGTTTCCTGCCCTCGGAAAGTTTCCCGCCCGCAGCTGCATCGCCCTCGCGATCCAAAAAGTCGACCGCGACCCTGCGGCTTCGATTTTATCGCAACGTCGCTCGGTAGGCCTCGGATTATCCTTTCAGTTCCATCCCACGGACACCGCGCACCTTTTAATCCTTCGCGGTCCCGCGTCGAGGCCGCTTCGACGTTCGATTCTGTTCCAATATCTATATATCTCTGCATCTATACTTCGTGCTATTTTTCTTGCAATTATTTCGTCACATTTTTACTGTAGCTTCTATGCTAGAGCTTTTCGAGTCCTGGGTTCTGTTCGTTTTCATAGAATTTTGCTTTATTGTTTTTATCGTCACTGTCGTGTGACTGATATTTGTTGCTATATTGAAAATTGCAATATTTAAATATATTAGTGTAAAGAGTATTACTATATTAAATACTGCAATATTTAAATATATTACGTAATAAATATCACTGTATTGTAGTGAATATCATTGTATCTATAGAAAAGTACAATTTAGAGCTTCCAAGTCTCTTCATATTCTCAGCATCCATGTAAATTCTGTTTCAATTATCTAATTGCTGTAGGATGCTTTCGAATTGGAAGCTACCGTAGGCAAATTCCGAATCCACGCGTTCTTTCTCAAATCCAAACGGACAGATGAACCGAGGAGCACAAAGGGTAGAACCGTAATTGAGCCGAGCAACATTGACGCAAGTCTCGAGACCGTTTCGCACCGCAAAGGGTTAAAGTCGCGGTCCTCGTCGGTCGAATATTCCGTACACCAACTTCCGTGGATGCTGTCCACAGGCAAACGTTTAATCTCCTCGAACGGAACGTAATTCCTCGTCGCTGAATCGGAACTGCTCGAAAAGAGGAGCGAGGGCGAAACGGACGGCGTGCATGCGAACACCGGCTTGTTCATCTGCAGATAACGAGAACCGATACACCTGGCGAGAGATCATAAACAGAAGCTTTCCGCTATCTCCTTTCGACATTTTTAGAGCCGGTTCTTCAAAGGAAGAACGACATTCTATTGTTTCTTCGAGTCGCAAGAGTCGACTCCGTCAACGTTTTAAAATTTAATTATCCCCTGCTGCACGCGGAGACAATTTTTTGCGGATCATTGTTCGGATTTACTACCCGTCGTTATCTGCGAACGTATCGTTTACTGCAGGAAGCGAGTTTTTCTAGAGAGCTTTGCATTATTTCTATTATTATTTCTATCGTTTCCTTCATTATTTCTCTTATCACTCACCTTGGAATCTGGCACGTTATTTCTCAGTTTCTCAAAGATTCGTTAACGAGAGATTTCTTTAAAAAGTAGATTCTAGGTAGTTTTTCGCTGTTTCTCAACTGTTTCTTAACTGGTTTAACAATTACTTCCTCTTACGAATAATTTTTAGTTCCTTCGCCAAGACATCCGAAGCTGACACTATCATTAGCAGGCGTCGTAGTGGCTCGTTGGATTCGACTACCGGTGTATATCCCGTTCAGATTCGTTTGGCCGCGGGCAAAGAAAAGTTGCGAAGCTTGTAAGCTCGCCGGCGGTCTTTAGATCCTTTAATAACGGCCGTGGAAGTTCGTTATCGAACGTTTGCGCCGGCCCGCCGTGTAAACGTTTGCAGACGTCCGCGGCGTCTCATCCCTCGCCGCTAATTCGCGATCGGAACATCGTCGGGATTTGCATACTAGCTCTCAGAAATTCGCCCACGGCCGGGCCGCATCCTGCCCGCGGATCGATTTGTTTGTTTACGCCGCCACACGCCACGGGATCGCCGTTTAAACCGGGTAGTCTCCGATCGCCGGAAGATCTCACTGTTAGTTACGGAACTTCCTGATGAGTTGAACACTCTTAAACGGCGATCGATTAGGGGACCTCTTAGCTCTGCGGACACGGAAATAAACAAGTATTTTATTGCATAGAATGACTTCTTGATTCTTTTCTATTGGGAGATATGTACCGTAAATAAGTAGATGGAAAATGATGGATAGTTAAAGGGTTGTGTAGTCAAATAGTTAAATAATTCTCAAATAACACAAGCTAAACATTCCCCAAGCGTTTTCTAATCCTAATTCCGTCGATTATATTTCACAGAACTCAGGTGAAACTATATATTTTTCAGCTATTTTACTTCAATCTCCAACGCCGAGCTTTTCTTTGATTATTTTCATTTTCTTTTCAGAAGATCATTCACTCTCGCGTGAGAAGGCTCGGTCGACGGGGTAAGAGCAGTTCAGTCAGCCCCGAAAATTCTTTATCGCCCTTTCTTCTCTCTGTCTCTGTCTCTCTCGCGGTGTCCTCTATCTTCCCAATTTTCCTCATCAACCCCTCATCTAAAACGCATTTTCTCTCTCAGCGACGAACCGCGGACGCTCAAACGCTGGCGAAAACAAGCTGCGATAAAGGGGTGGCCCGGTAAAAAACCCTTCCGTTCCAGGCGGCGCGGAACTTCGGCTCCGTTAAAAGCAACCGGAAGAAACCCAAACGGAAACGAAGTCGCGTCTACTCGGCGAACCATCAACCCTTCTCACGGAACGAGTTTCACGGTTTCTTTCAATCCTTTCCAATTATTCTTTCATTGTTACAAATGTTATTGCGATCTCCTTATACTTTAGATTCCTCGACAATTTCGGTAGTTGCATTTCATTGTAGAGAAGGGAAAGTGTGAACAAAATTTGATTATACCGAGGCGAGTTCTGAAGATGCAATAACTTTGTGGCTTGGAAAGTTAACGATCCTCCGCTTCGAAATTAATCAATGGTGAGAGTCCAATCTCACCATTTTAAGGTCGATTTACATGAATAATACTGGTGTAACTAATTTTCAGAAAATTGAATTGTGAATGGCCATTTTCACTGAGGTCAACTTATATCACTATACATAGAAAAACTCAGATATATTGTTATGTAATATATTTTAAATAGATAATCAATTCGAATTAAATTTTATATTCCTTTCAATGCTGTGGTAACTAGCGAAGTTGCACAGCTAAGTGTCTTTATATAAAAACGAGATTTCTCGTTGCCAGTACGCAATGTGTTAATGTTTGTGTCGCTGATTTTGTAAATACTTTGCACTCTATTGTCGCTGCGGCGACATTGTAAGATAAGTTTATAACTTTAAAATGTACACGCGTTTTTTTAATAACAAAGCAGGGTCTCAAATATTTTACAGAGGCTTGCTCGTAGTTGATAGCTCATATTAAAACTGTTTCGGGTTTGCTGAAAGGTTATATTAAAAATTGTTGGGAGTGCAAAGGGTTAATATTTTAACGTGCACCGGTTAACGAATAATGTAAATCGATCTTGATGCGGGACAGTCCCCACCGCAAGAATGAATAGAGAACTGTGCATTTCGCCGGCGTATCCTCGCATCGATCGCATCGATGACCGATTCCCGGCTCTCCGCCGTTGCATTACGAATACATCGGGATTCAGGGACACTCCAGGCGGCTGTTGTCAAACTCCAGCCTCGAGTGGCCCCGACTTTATCGCGGGAACCATTCTTCGGCGCTCGTCTCTTTCATCCCCTGTTCTTTGCTCATATTTAGAGCACCCTGGGTATCCGGGATTCTCGTTCCTTTATCATCTTCTTCGACAAGGTATCAATATCTCTAAAACTAGTGCTAACTATCGATTAAGAGTTGATAACTGGCGACAAAAATTCTAATTTCCAAAGTCACCAGCAACTGCCAGAAAGTTAACGTCAACTGTAAACACCGGTCCCATACTAGCAAAGTTTCCAACGTCGAATAAGAATCCGTTGATTCGTACTATCGTCAGTATCACTGTACTATTCTTCGAGTTCCGAAACGAGACTGCGGCTTCCGACGAAGGGGAATGACAGAGAACCGTCGAATCGCGAAATCAAAACCCGACAACCTAATTTCCGTGACGTTTATCGGCCGCGTTAATTAGCGCACGCCTTGTTAGCTCGAAGTTCTGGCTCGGCGATAAGCGGGGTCGTTACAAAGCGCCGGTAAACCCGTCTCGGAATTGGTCGGATCGTAACTGGATTTTCCCGTGGCAGTTTCGAGAACTTCCCGGCAAGTTTTTCCGCGGCGTGGAAAACTGAATTTAAAAACTGGATTCCGGCGAGCCGCGGCGGGCTGCTTTGTTTGTCCTTTTGCTCGCCGCGGCTCCTAATGCATAAAATCGGGCGTGTCGGAACGGTACGCGGCGCGGGAACAAGCGAGCGAAATTTTCGCCGGTCGAGCAATCCCCGCGATTACCCCGGGACACGAGCAGAGAGATTTCTCTCTCGTACATTTTTCTGAATTTCGTTCGATTCTCCACCGGCGGAGCCATTTACCGATCGTTTCAGCTCGCCTTCACGCGTCCGGTTCTTTTCAATTCATCATTTTCCATATTATATTGCGAATAACATTTCATTTGAAAAATCAAACACCGAGAAGTGCAAGGAAGTGGACTAGTTCTTGCGCGAGATGGACACATTGACAATTATCACAATGATTCTCTAGTTACTTTGTTCGACATCAATTTTCTTGCAATCTTCAAGTAACTTGTGTTTAGACTTATTTTAATCACAGTAATCTCAACAATCTAGCACGTTTGAGAAAGTAAGCTCGAAACTTTAACGTTAAAAGTAAGCTCAATTTTATCGCATGTTCATATTTGACGCGTGCAGCATTTGTCTCGCTTGCTCAGAGAACTGTCTCACTTCTCATTATACTCGTTCTCCGACTTTGTCAAACCGTGCTCCGTGTGCCCTTCAGGTCATTGGAGATGTTAAAAGATACCATCAGATAGTATTCGATAGTACATGCGACCCGAAAGTGTGAGCCACCGGTACACGCCGCCATCGACGCGATCGACAGAAATTGAAAGCCGTGTAGCGACACGTAGGTAGCAGTCGATTTATCAGTAACATGTATTATACCGTATAACAGGCGTTATCAGCGACCCGTATCGCAACGTGTAGAGACCTTAAGAGCGGACGTTTCCGGGAGCGCTTCTCCAGGAAATAGTTTCTTTCGATTTTCTCGTGCATCTCCTGGAAACGTCTCCCAGACAGCCGGCGAGAGCGTTTAGAACTGTTTTCCCCGGGCAAGGCGAAGACTCCGCCGCGGCACTTCCGATAGTTTCCAATTTCAACTGTTCACTCGTTTTTAGGACACGCTGTAAGGCGAGGGTTCAAACGGATTCGGAGAGTGACGCCTCCGCGCACGGACACGAGCCCGCTATACCGCGACGCTGACGTAAATTTAACGATCGGAATTAACAGTGTTCACTGCCTTGCTCGCCGCGAGCTTCCCGACGACCCGAATTTCGGCTTTTCCGTGGGAAAAGGGGAGTTCGAATTTTCGCCGAGTTTCGGTTTAGTAGGCTCGATGCGTTATCTACTTAGCGGATCGGTTGTTACTTGTTGCGGAAGTTGAGGATACGTTGGCTTTACGGCAATTTCTTTGATTGTGCTTTGGGGAAGCTTATGGTTGATTTTATATTCGATGTCAGCGTTTATCCCTTTGCACTCGAGAGGTGACCACTTGATTTCACGTAGCAAAACTATAAAATTTGATATTCAATATTTAACTATATATAATCGGTGTGTGAAATATTGGGATGAAAAAGCTTTGTTTCTCAATCCATTTAAAAAAATATCGTTTGTGTCTAGTTAGAAAATGTTAAATATTTCCAACGAAATACTTCCGAGTGCAGAGTTAAATTTGCCTTCATATCTAAGTTTAACGAAACATATTTGATTTAAATTTATATTTCACTTCCACGATAGAGGTATTAGACTTTTCTCCTGTTTTTAAGTCCTCAAAGAAGCATACACGAATTCTCAATAATTGTAAAGGTACAAACTAGCAATGACTGGTTCCGATGCGTCTAAGCGGTAGTTAATTCGTGTTAACAAAATTCCAGTACCGGGAAGATTAATTAGCGTCAGATTAACCGGGTGAAAAGTTGGATCAAAACGCATCTGTCGCTTCGGTCGCGGGTCACCTGCAACAGTGAATCAGTGCAGCCGGTAATTGCCTCGATTTCGAATGTAAATGAGTCGCAGTTAATGATTATAAATAGGAATCCGTGATTGGATCGAGCGTTACACTTTAATCGGCGCCAATAACGCGTAATTGGATTGCATTTTGTCCGACTCCGGCTCGCAGGAGAAGCAGGCGAAAGGTGTCCGACAGAAGTCTCGTCATTCGGCTGGTCCATTGAAACGCGGTCGATTCGTTTCGCTCGATTTCATTCGGAATCTTCATTATCCGACTGCGTCGGACCCTCATGCATACATGCATCTCGCGCGTTTATATTTATGACGCGGTAAACGACGTCCGCGCGTTTATCGCTGCGCCCGTTTAGACCAAGTAAAATCGAAATTCGCGTTACACGCAACTCGTCCGTTATCTGCAGCTTGTTAACATCGTTAGGAACAAGTTAGAAACTCATTTTGTTTCGGCGTTAAGTCACGGTTACGTTAAAATCGAATCACAGTCTTAAAATTCTAGTATAGAATAATTACTTCAACTTTTTCTTTCGCTAAGTCTTATCAAATAATGATTATACAACTAAACTAAAGGTTTTTTAGTTTGTTTGTTAGTTTAAATGTTAGCTTTTAAACTAAATCTGAAGATTCCAGTATAGAACAATTACTTCAACTTTTTATTTCACTAAGTCTTATCAAATAACGACTCTATCCATTTCCTTTGCTACCAAGCTAGTAATAATAACTCGAACATTTCCACCGACTCAGCGTTTGAAATCAACTAACAATTCCATCGAATTTTCTTTTTTAGAAACTCATCCAGCATCTCCAGTTTCCTCGAACCTCTAACGATCCTTCTTCATCTATAAAAGTGGATGGGGAGCGATCCGAAGACAGAAAGATCCTTCCTTTGATTCCCGAATGGATGTTGCCCGCCGGGGATTCCCCTTTCGCGAGGAGGAAGACATTTCGATGGTCTCCGCGAGATCGTTCGCGGAGATCAAAGGTCCCCAATTTTCGCGTGTCCCCCTCCGTTTCATTAGCCCATTCTTTCTCTATTGTCTCCCGGCTCCTTTATCCGACAGCGAGGCGCCCGGCTGGCTCTTAGGAACGGCACAATGGCCGGCGAGCGATTTTCTTAACGCGCGCCGAGCGCCACGGGAACCGTGTAACGGATAGCTCTCGATGTAACGAATGGAATTAGATCCGTAATTTCGGAGAGAGACGCTCCACGGGACCATTGTGACCCGTGTAATCCGATCCGCCGGCGTGTTTTCAACCGGTCCTGATCTATTCGATCGCTGGACGACGCGTTGCGTTGCTGGGACACTTGTGCGGCCATTTTGAATCGTTTTGTATCTTCTAATTGGATATCTGTTAGATCATTCTGTTCAAACTTTAACTCCGTTTGAAATCGTTGAGTTACTAAGTTGTTCAGTGAATGATTAATTTGAAACTCTGGTGACGTGATTTGTTTGGAATTGTTATATATGTTACACTTTATGTGGAATATTTCATTTAGATTGAATTGTATATTTGATGATTCAGTCAACTGGCACGAGTTGCGTAAATTGTCATCTTGTTTTTAACTGTGGTTGGTGGACTATAGATTGTATTTTTCACGCAGGTCTGGGCGATGAACACGAGTACAGACTGACAAAGCATCTCCTCGATGGATACGACGCCGGAGTACGTCCAGCTAAGAATTCTTCCCAGCCGCTCGGAGTTGTATTCGGCCTCTCCCTTCATCACATAATCGACGTCGTGAGTCTGCCTGTTTCAATAATTAATTTCTCATTCATCGAATCACTGTAATCGATTCAGCAACCAGCTAAAGCGACTAGCTTACGCTTAGTTTTCCAATTATTCCAATAACTTAACCCAACGTTTAAAAATATTGCTTAAAGAATCCAATATCCGCCAAGTTGACGTATTCCCCGAGTCTACCGTTAAATCTTTTTAAAAAATCTGTTTTCAAACACATTGTGTCTACGTTCGCCCTTACATCGACCGAAATTCCGTTCACGGCCGGCGGCGCCGTCGAATTCCCGAGTCCCCGGCGGAATTTTGATTTCTCCTTATTCCGCGTCGCGCATAAAAATTTCTCCCCGGCTTAAGCCGTCTCGATAATGAGCTTCCTCGCTCGGTCGCGAGGAAACCGGGAGCTTTGAACCCTCGGCAGGAGAACCGTGCCCCTTTGACGCCGCCGGAAATATTCCGCGGGCCGAGGCAAAGCGAAATAAATGCGGAATCGCGTTTGTAGAACGGAAATCGTTCGATGGGAACGATAAACGGCAACGGTAGACTCTTGGATAGTTTACAGAACTCCTCCCCCGAGTCTTTGAACGTCCCAATAACTTCTAAATCCGCGGAATTTCACAGTCTAATTAAAATAACGCGGAGAGAACAATTTCTAAATCGGTGCCCTCCGGATTCCCGTGCGCTTCTCGCGGGAACGCTCGATGGAAACAGCAAGAAACAGCGATGGGATAGTAAATAACCGTACCGCACTTCGATATTAACACGCCAAGTCCACTAACATTCGCGAAATTCCGCGAGAAGTACTTTATTTCGCTGGAGAATCCCCGTTTCATCCGTTAGGATCTTTCTCCAGGCGGCGCTTCATCAACGATATTACTCTTCTAATCGCGTTTTGTCCGGCATTCCGTTACCGGTAGCCGTTCCGGCGGCTGTATTTGGTTACCAAGCACCGCGTTAACGTGCCATTTTAACGCGGAATCATTCGCTTGACAAATGATCGACTTAAATCGCAGCGTGTCGGCGGAGAGGCGAAAAAGAGTGAGCGGCTCCGGGGGAGTCCCGCGATGAAAATGTGTCGGGTGAAAGATGATTCTCGTTAGGTACACACGAGAGATAAATCTTCGGAAGTTTCCATCGGGGCTTATGTGTTCCGCCGGCAATTTGTCTTGGGTATTTCCGGTTAGACGACGCTCGCGATCCCACGGGAGAGGGGGGGCCTGCCTCTTTTCTCGCGTTCCTTTCGAGTTTCATGGTTGTCGGCGGGATCGCGACACCGCGAAGAAATATCTCTCTCCGTCGTAATGAATATAAATCGATACGCGGACTGCCGATACTCGCCGCGTTGCTAATGCAGGTCCGAGTAGGCTTGACCCGAATTCTTCGGGGGCTGCTGCACAAAATAATCGGCGCGTTCGCTCGGAGAGCTCGCGGCTCGAGAGGTGTCTTTGTGTGAACGAATATTTCAATTAGTGGGAATCAATGTAACGGCTGCTGTTCATTTGGAACGGTTGATTTCGTTGAATGGAGCTGACGAAGATGGATGTAGGCAGTCGATTGACCGATTCATATCTTTCTCGGAGAATTCTAAATTCTAAACTTTAATGGGATACAATATTCTTTTCAGTTTTTCAAGCACTTTTTAGATCAGAAAGTAGTTCTTTTTATAGCTTCTGAATAGGTTGTATCATCTAATTAATTTTTGTTCTCTAGGCTTTGCTGTTTATTATACTGTATTATTCGTTGGATTTTATTACGTTTAGTTAGCGATTTCACCAGAAAATCGTGCCGATCTTTTGAACGCCGAGCTCACTGGCGCGTTTCGATATTTCTGATCGCAGGACGAGAAGAACCAGATACTGACGACGAACTGTTGGGTCACGCAGGTCTGGACCGACCATCATTTGAAATGGAACGCCTCGGAATTCGCCGGGATCCGAGTGATCCGAGTCCCCTACAATCGTGTTTGGAGGCCAGACACGATTCTGTACAACAAGTAAGTCATTCGGATGAAGAAGGAACCTAAGATTGCGAGGAGAACTGAAGAGATGCATTCTACGGGGATTGCCGGACATTGTTGCGCGGCGATCGAGTTCGATCATTCGACGGCGTGGATTCTCGCGGATGGAAATTGAATTTTAGTCGAGAATCTGATTGATGAAATTAGACTGGACTGGACCACATCTTTAACTCGATGGACTTCTTATCTTTCCATAAAAATATATTTATCGATATAACTTGCAATACTATTCAATTCAATGATTCTAACAAAAGAAATTGGGAAACGATTTTGACTCTAGCAGTTGTTACGTTAGATTGTCTCTTTTCCCTTATCTCGATAAATACATTTATCTAATTCTTATAGAAAGATAAGAAGTCCATCGAGTTAAAAATGTGAAAATATATTTATTGAGATAAGAGAAGAGAGACAAACGAACCTGCAATACTATTTAATTAGACAATGATTTTGACTCGTGTAGCAATTGCTACGTTAGGTTGATATATGTCCATTGTATATAAGCAAGAGGCTGTTACATAAAAGTGAAGGGAAAGTAACTTCCCCGGTAGAAAGTATGAAAAGTAGCGTAGGTCTATCGATTGGCCCGGCGGAGACTCTGCTCGATTTCTTCTCCCCGATATTCGCCAATACACGCTCCGCTTTGTTTACAGCGCAGATCCGCAGTACAGCTCGGCGGTCATCAATACGAACGTGATCGTCAGCCACACCGGCGAAGTGGTGTGGCTCAGCCACGGGATCTTCCGCAGCAGCTGCGACATCGACGTCGAGTTCTTCCCCTTCGACGAGCAACGCTGCGTCCTGAAGTGGGCCTCTTGGACGTACGATGGTTACCAAGTAAGGCACCAAAGAACCCGACACCGCAATCTCAGGAGAAACTTGTTTGCTATTTTTAGTTGGCTGCATAGAGAAACTTAGAATTAGACGATTCGAGGAGTCGATAGGAACTGAGGAAAAATTAGTGGATGACGATAGTTCCTTTAACCCTTTGCACTCGGAAGTTTTTCATTAGAAATATTTTAACGTCTCCTGATGAGATAGAGATATTTTGTGAAACTCGACGAGAAATCACACTTCCATCGAGGGACAAAGCTGTTTGAATATTTCTCAAATCGATGCATTGTACGAAGTGTAATATTAAGTATGAAATTTTATGGTTTTACTGTGTGAAATCAATTGGTGAGGCACCTCTCGAGTGCAAAGGGTTCAGTCCATACTTGAGAAAACTTCACAATTAACTAAACAAGAGTCTCAAGATCAAATACACGTGATCCACTAATTTTCCTCTGCACGATAAACCTTCGATGAAGAACCAAAGAAACTCGTGAGTTTAATGAAACAATTGATTCGTCGTCCTTGAACGGTCCCGGGATGCCATGCAAATTGGCCAGCTATAGAGGCATCCATCGAAGGCAGCTAGGAATAAGCAAATATGTATGTACACGGAGCAGAGGAGCCTTCAAGCTGACAGCGTTTTTCCCGAAGGAGAAATTGTGCCCGAGCGGCGAGGCCGGGATTAGACGGTAGCCCTTCGACGGACTCGTTCCTCGTTATTGTGACTGGGCCGGTCTTAAAAATCACCGGCGAGGTTTTGCGGCTTCCGGCCGGGAATCCGTTGAATTAAAAAGTCCGCTCTCAATGGTAAACTGAACCGTCGATTCGTCGAAGAAACGTCTTCCTCCCTCGCTTCGCCTTTTCAAGATCGGTTCCGCGGATCTCTCCTCCGAGCCGGACACGACAGACAGAGACGGATAGGCAGATAGGCACGGAGAGACGCTTAACAGGCTCGGAATCGGGAATACCGATTCGGGGTCGCGAAAATGGCCCGGCCGAATCGAACAGCTTAATCCCGCATGCGAGAAGAGTTGAATGCGCCGCGCGCCTTTCACCGAGTTTTTCCCATTTCCGCGTTTCCGGGGTTGAATACATTTCGCCGTTTTCGCCTGCGCGCCTAAAACGATGGGGATACGGCTCCCGGATCAGTCGGGGCTCCTGGAAATATCAATCTATTCGTTGATTCATTTTCCTTCTTTCTTTCTCTTTTTCTCCTTTTTCCGGTGTCAACCCTTTCACTTGCGATAACGCGTCGCGGTTGGAGATTATTGTAGCTTACGGTGAGACTGTATTAATGATAGCGATAGTATCTTGTACGACAGTGAAACGGTAGTGTAATACTGGAACAATGAGAACACCGAGAGCACTTCGGACACTAGGCCAACAGTTTGAAAGTTTTTCTAAATTATTCGTAACACCGTCCGCGCGGATTTGTTCGAAGTTTCGAAGCTCCGCACCGCGAGTTTCGAAACCTATCAAGCGGTCGGCGTAAAGCGTGAAACTCGGGGACTCCCCGAATATAATCTGTCCGGCGCGCGCGATGGAGCTATCCCATTTCCGATGTCCCGTCGCGTCGAAGCACGGTTTCCCGGCCGCTGCGTTTTTCCCGGCCGACAGCTGTCCGCTGTCGCGTCCGTCGCGAGTCGACGGAACGCAGCGACGTGTAATCGGTTCGCGGTTGCTTTAACTCGAGGAGACGCTTTAGCGCTTGCAGCTATCGCCATTTGTCTCGGCGACGCTCGCTGTATTAGATTAAATCCAACGTGCAGCTTCTAGATGAACTATCCGATAAAATTCTACTGTAATTAATCATTCGGCAGGGTATGATAAATAATAAAATACGTGATAGAACTGTATAAAATTATGTAACACTAAACTATATGAAACTATGTAAAACGATGAGACGAGTAAAAATGATTAAAAAAAACCTGGCTTTCCAACTCAGATTAAAAACAAATCTGGTATTAAATGTATTTAGAATACCACTGATATAATGCCAGGTTTTTTTATTGCAAACAACAATATAACTGGAATCCCGTTAAGACTGTCCTAACGCGTTGATCCGATTATCTCGCGCTTGCGATCTGGACCGTGTTCTACATTAAAGAACGTTAATCTACTGCAGTTTTTTCTGTTCAGTTGAATAATCGGATACTCTGCGTTCGCAGCTCGAGCTGGAGAGACAAAGCGAGCAGGGGGATGTGAGCAATTACCAGGCGAACGGCGAGTTTGACCTGGTCGACTTCTCGGCGAGAAGAAACGTGGAATATTACTCGTGCTGTCCGGAACCCTACCCGGACATCACCTACGAGATCCGGCTGAGGCGACGACCGATGTTCTACGTGTTTAATTTGATCCTGCCCTGCATACTCATCAACGGAGTCGGTGAGTGGAAATCCGTTTCCTCTGATAAACAATTATTCATCGTCGTTTAAATCCGTCGGTTTACAGTGCATCCAATAAAAAAAGGATTTTTCTCGATTTCATCGCATTAGGTCGTTATCTTCCAATTGTTCATTCCAAGTTTCTCTCGTATGTTTTTCTTCGTACTTGTAGGCTATTCTAGAGGGTGCTCTCGATCATAATTAACAGACAAATCGCGGGGCGGGGTGTTCATTATTCAATCAGTTATTCAATTCGTTGCATGTTAAAAGCGATGCGCTCCGGAAAAATGTCCACGATTAAACTCGCTTAACGAAAAACTGCAGGAGGAGAAGGGGGAAGGGAAATTTATGCGGAACTTGGTTCGTTCCCCTCTTTTTATTCCTCTGCGTCCGGAACTTTTTCGTGCGGCCCCCGAAGAATGCCGCCGCCTCTCCCTTCCCCTCCTCTCGTTCGCGTCGCTGCTCGATATTCCGCGGCGAGAAAACTTTTTCACCCGTTTATTCAGCGCTGTTGGTATTCTACGTGCCGTCGGAATCGGGGGAGAAAGTCACCCTCGGGATTTCGGCGCTCCTCTCTATGACCGTCTTCCTGATGACCATCCGCGAGACGCTGCCGCCTACGGAGAAGACACCGTTGATAAGTGAGTACTTTTTCCTGCACCGTTCGATCAATCTCCAGCGCCGTGGAACGAACATGGAATAATGCTATTGTCGCATCTATATTATTATTACTGCTGTTACTATTATTATTCACTGTTATCGCATAACGTTACAAGTTTCAACCTCTTCAAACAGATTATCTGCTTCAGCGTCGTACAACATGAATTAGTCTTACTATCGCATCTATCACTATTATTATTATTATTATCATTCACTACTGTCACTGTCACATAAGGTAACTGAGCTATAACAGTTTCAAGCCCCTTAAACGGATAATCGTCGATCGATCGTGTCGCGATTAGCATCGGTAGACTCTCGTTCGTTTTAAATATGTACTTCTGTACGCTTCCTCAAACGGATGATAAAGATGTGCATATATCTCTCCGACGACGCGAAATGCATAAATATCCCCGGTCCAACGAATAAAGTGCAGCGGTTACGAGAAAATAGGGAGGAGATGGAGGGGCCATTATCCGGATCCATTGGAACGTGAATCCCCGGCTCTCCTCCCATTCGATATTTTTATTTACGTCGCCGCCGTTCTCGGTTCGTTGGGTTCGTCTCACCGGGGCTTCCACTTTGGAACAGGTAGAAGCGAAATAATCGGTCCCTCCAGCCGCGGACTAACGAGAAACGAGCCGATACACGGCGCTGGCCTGGCCGGGGTATCGCTGTAACCGCGTTGATTGAAAATTCTCAGGTGTCCCGCGCGGAGCTCCCATCGCGGACGAAATCGCGATTTAACGTCAGACTCGTCCGGGCCGGATTACTCCGTAATCGGAATTAATTTACGCTGCGTTCCGCGTGGCCACGTTGCGTCCCTTGACGAACGTTCACCCTTGGGATTGGATTTCCCAAGTTATTGCTTGCCATGGTCTTTACGTAATAATGAACGTTTGCTAAGGGTTCATTTAGATTTGCTTTCGCTTAACACTAGAACTACCGTTGGAATGACCTATTCTTTGATTTAATGACCTCTTCAATTATTGTGACAGGAATGTTTCTTTGAGAAATGATTGGAGCCAAGTATCGACAGACTTATAGCTTTTGTAAGAGAACGTTAGGAGAGGTCACTTTAATTGATTGGTAGATTTAGCGTTACTTTGGAGCTTAAGACCACCCCCATTGTTTCCAGGTCTTTACTATGGCGTCAGTATATGCCTGGTGTCCTTTGCGTCCGGATTAGCAGTGGTCACCTTGAACCTTCATCACCGTGGGGTCAGGGGAACCAGGGTGCCGGCTATAGTCAGGTCGTTGGTCCTCGACAAGCTTGCCAGGGTAGTGTTCCTCAACTTCCAAGAGGAGAAGAGATCGGTAACGTATCTAGAAGTTGCAAGTTGGAAGGTTGTACTAACTACTTTTAATGGTAACTCTGTTTTAGGAGCAAGTCGAGCCACCTAGGAGAAAGAACAACTGCCCGTTACACTGCAAGCCGGAAGTGTCCCAGTCGCAGTCGTCCCCAAAGTTTGTGACCAGAAGAGAGGACAGCAACGGTAGTAGTCCTAGCTTAGGTGAGTCCTCTAATTGCAGTCAGGATCGAGTCTCTGTGAATTCAGGTAAAAAACGATGACAAAGAGATTGAAAAAAGCGTTGAATCCTGGTGTAGATCTTGGGAAGGATGGGGATCTGGAGGCGCAATGGTCCCGAGCCCTAGGGCGAGTGCACGCGACCATCGAGAAGAACGAAAGACGCCTCACCGAGCAGGACCGGCGCGAGAGGACGGAATTGGATTGGAAGCAGGTAGCTCTGGTCAGCGATCGGGCGTTGCTCTGTGTTTTTTTCTTGACGACGATCGTCAGCACCACTGT